CTACACATACTTTGAAATAATACATATGCAGATCAGGATCTCTTAAATCCTAGCTCGGTATATTTTACTTGGGAACTTTAAAGGCAGTGGCTCCCAGGGCTCTTGGGGAATTTGAGATCTGTGAGGTGGTGCTGATCTTGTGGGGGCAAAGGGGGGGATTTGAGATACCACTGGTCACTGTGCATGGAGGCTGATGGGGCAACTCGCATTGTTTTAATGTCAGGCCTGATTTGGTGCTTTGTGTTTTAGCTGGAGACGGATCAGGAGCGGTTCCTGAATGACTTGCGCAGAGATGTCCAGAAGGAAGTGGGATTTGACGCTGTGATGAGGGTACGCACAAGCACAGGTAGGTATTTGCATTGCCTGGGGCTTAATAAACTGGTCAGTAAACATGTAGGTTGGGAAGGGTCAGACTTACTCAAAGCCTGGAACATACCGAGGTTAGGTTGTGGACCCTGCCTTGTAAAGCTTGAACGTCCCTGGGGAAAGGTGAATGAAAAGCTATAAAAAGAGCTCTCCAGTGTCCCTGATAGACAAGGGCTGCCCTAATTTCCAAAATGTTGCCTGCTCGTCTGCTACAAAATGTGATTGATTTAGTGTCCTTTTCTCTTTCAGGTATTAGAGCAACTGACTTCTTTGGTGCTTTCTATATGAGCAACACAACGGATGTGGAGCTGGCAGGTCTGGACTGTGATAAAACAATCACAGTGGAATTCAAACATGATGACAAGCTAAGTGAAGATACCGGGGCACTTCTTCAGGTGAGGCAGAAGACAGTCTGCAATGAAGGGAGGGGGATGAGAGCATTCAAACTCCAAAATATGCTGGCCTGCTACCAGACCTCCTCCATATGGAGATACAAGAATATTGATCTTTGGAGTAACAGCCTTGCCCTGTGTAACTTGCTCTAAGGTTCCCTCTTTTGGAATCACTTTCTCAGCCGTGCACACGCAGACTAGATAGCTGCATTGCTATGAAGTTTGCTTGGTTCCTTACTTGACTGAGGCTCTCTCCAGTCCCAGTGCTGATGGCCTATAGAAAGAACAAGTTGTCTATCATCTGTCATTGACTCCTGGTGATACTTCAGCGAACAGTCTCTTTCCTCTCTGCCCAAGCGACAAAACTAGCTGGTTCCCTGGGGTCCTTTTCCCATTCCACCTACTCTTCAAAGCTCTCCACTCAGACATTTTCTAGGACTCCCCAAGACGGAGAGAGAACTAGAAAGAAGCTGTTGACTCTGCTTATTGCCTCCTAACCCCATGCTTTGTCTATTTGCTAGAACAGTATCTTAATTGTCCAGCTAACCCCACACGTTGTTTGGAATAGCAGTTCACACATGGGTGGGACTTGATAGTGTTAAGTGCTTTGTAATGCACCATATGTAGGCTTTTGTGTAGGAAGGAAGAGGCACAGTGTTTTGGCTGAAAAACCACCAACTTTTCAAAAAGGGCTTGGCCTGCTGTACTCCTAAGTCAGTTCACCTTTCTCAGGCTTAGGTAGCTAAAATGTGGTTACTCTCCAGAGCCAAGAAACAAAATGGCATGTGCTGATTTGCTTACTATAGTAGGACTGAGTTGTTTACCTATTCTGTCATTTTGTGCCTGTCTCTCTTCTAGTGTGCTCTTTTGTACACAAGCTGTGCAGGACAGCGACGACTCCGCATTCACAACCTCTCCCTGAACTGTTGCACTCAACTTGCTGACCTCTACCGGAATTGTGAGACCGACACGCTCATCAATTACTTGGCCAAGTTTGGTAAGTGCTAGAATCTTACTACTACACGGTAGTTCTCTTTCACAGCCAGTGGCACTTATTTTTTTACCTTGCACCAAAGAGTTGGCGAGGCAGAGGTTGGAGTTTTCAACTCTTTGTGCTCCTCCAGTCCCCCAGACACCTGGGCTTATAGTACTCTTCTCACGTGGGGCTGACAGAGGCACAGCCTTATTGCCTGTTGAGTCAGATGCTAAGACTGGTCTGTGGACTGTCTCAACAGAATTGGGGGCGGGGGTGTATAGCTATTGCCATCTGCACATGTTCACTCCTGAAGCCACAATTTTTACCCCTTCATGTTCCTGAGTTCCTCTGCTCCAGGCATGGAAACACACACAGCTGCTCCCAGATCCTGCACACAGTAGTGAGACCAGTGAACATTCTCAGTGCTACATTGGGTATTAAGTGTACAGATTAAATGGGCTTCCTGGAACTGCAGAAGCCATATGTGCTGTCCCCTCCAAGAGGGCGAGAGGGTCAGTTGTGTTCAGCAGAGTCCCCTGGTGGCCCCTTAGGGAATGGCATTGCCAAGGTCTGCAAGGAGTCTCCAGTTGTCCATGACCAGAAGTGTGGCTGGCTGTGCCACAGGGCCTTGAAGGGGTGCGTGGTGGGGAGATGGTGAGTACGTATCCAAAGTAAATGGAGTTTGTGAATTTCCAGTAGGATTGGGTAGTTTTTTTTTCCCCCCCACAAAGGGAAAGGTTTCTCCTCTCCCCCCTCCCCCCCCCCCATTGGAGAGTTGCTCTAAGTTTACATCTGAAGAAGTGCATTTTGCCCATGAAAGCTCATGATACTATTATATATTTTTGTTAGTTTCTAAGATGCCACAGGACTACTTGTTGTTTTTAAAGTGACAGACTAACATGGCTGTCCTTCTGAGACGTGTAAAGATTTTAGATCACTTTATAAGTTAAATCATTACTGGCAACATTTAACATTCCTGCATATTTTTACATCTGAAGAAGTGCATTTTGCCCATGAAAGCTCATGATACTATTATATATTTTTGTTAGTTTCTAAGATGCCACAGGACTACTTGTTGTTTTTAAAGTGACAGACTAACATGGCTGTCCTTCTGAGACGTGTAAAGATTTTAGATCACTTTATAAGTTAAATCATTACTGGCAACATTTAACATTCCTGCATATTTTTTCCATGCCTTCCTGTGCAGCGTATCGTGGGGTTCTGAATAATCCAGTCAAGACAGTGCGAGACACGTTGATCAACCAATGCGCACAGATTCTGGCGTGTTACCGAAAAAACTGTGCTAGTCCTTCTTCTGCTGGCCAGGTGACTGCATGGGCTTTGGTTTGAATGGCAGCTTAGGGAGGTTCAGCATGAGGGGGCAGCTCCTCTCGTTCCTTGTAATCTAAGTGGGGAGCTTCCCTTAGCAGCTGAGTACAGAACTATAACCAGGTAGCTGGGAAGAGAAGCTCTGTTCGGAGTCACTTTGCAGGCAGACTTTCCTGACATTGAGGAATGCCAGCTGCTACCACCTCAGGAGAAACAGAGAATAATATCAGGAACCTCGTGATTCTTAGCTGCTGGTACCTTACATGGTACTTGACCTCTTTGAGAGGCCTCCTTAGCAGAAAATCCTATTCCTTGGATAGTAAATTTCTATGAATGGCATAACACTTCAATATTTTAAACTTTAATCATGGGTCTTTTAAAATGTTTTGGGAGGAGCCTCTTCCACTGTTGGGCAATCATCCTTTGGATGTCTCTGCTCCTTCAGTACTTCTCAAGCACAGTTGTGATATATGATGCTGAGATTCTGTCATTCTCTTCTTCTCTCTCCCCCGACCCTCCCCGGAGTCTGAATCTCAGCATCAGAACTCTTACAGAAGTAAGGATGCCATAATAATCCAGAGAGAGCTCCTGTCTGAATGAACTCCCTACATGTGGCAACTCATAGACGACCCAAAGTTTAAAGAATTTTAACTGTAATCCATTGTGACATAAGTTTGTCCCTCTCTCTTTTGTGGTCATTCTGTTGACTCTTTCCAGTCTCCATTTCGGTAAGGCATTGAAATGACCTGCTGTCTCATTCAGAAAGGGCATGTCTACACAGCAGGGCTAAAGCCAAAATAAGCTATGCAAGTTGAGCTACGTCAGTTGTGTAGCATAAGTTGAAACTTCTTATTTCGGCTTTTGGTGCTGTCTACGCAGCAGGAAGTCCGAGAGAGCACTCTTCCTCAGACTTCCTTTATTCCCATAAAATGAGGGTTACAGGAGTCGGAGTAAGTTCTCCAGCCTGACAGTGTCAAAATAACTGCTTGTAGTGTAGATGCAGACTGTTATTTCGGAATAATGTCAGTTATTCTGAAATGTTGCTGTGTAGACATATCCTAAGGTAGCTGATTACCTTTGGTCTCTTTATTCTCCATCTTGTAGCTGATCCTCCCTGAATGCATGAAGCTGCTTCCTGTGTACTTGAACTGTGTGTTGAAGAGTGATGTCCTGCAGCCTGGAGCAGACGTCACCACTGATGACCGTGCCTACATCCGCCAATTAGTCAGCTCCATGGATGTAGCAGAAACTAATGTTTTCTTTTATCCCAGGCTTTTGCCTCTGGTAAGTGCTTGTGTTCCAAGTCCATTTGAGCCTTGATACACAGGAGAAGTCCTCATTCCAGAGAGTCCAGCTTCCTCTACTCAGCAGAGTAACCTTTCCTTGAGAGAAGAGTGCAGTGAGAGAGGAGTTGAGATGTGCCATTAGCTGGGGCCTTTTATATCAGGAATGTTCTTTATCACGCAGTGTGAATTTGACAAGGTTTTATCCCTTCTCCTGCCCTGTGGGAATGTGTAAGCAGGGTCCTGCGTACACTTTCATAGACTGGAAAATGTTCATTTTCCATCCTCGTAACCCTACATTACGACCATAATCCTTGCAGCCTAGGAGGACTTGGGTTTTTGCTGATGATGAATTAAATAGGAAGACCCCTGGCATAAAGCTGGCTACAGAATGCACTCCCATCCAGTGTTCATAATTGGGATTACAGAGTATTGCTGCTAGAGCCAGGAGCCCCATCTGTTCTCATTAGCAGGAAATCCTCTCCAATCTGTTGCACATGGTAATCAACAGGAAGGATGTTCATTCCCAGTTGATGGCACTTGGAGATTGGTACATGATTTGATGTCCTTTTTTTAGAAGGAGGGGTATGTGCAGGTACCTTCTGAGTCAGAGAAACTGAAAACCCCTTAGGATTTTGGAGGCAGGAATCACTGTGGCTCACAAGACTTATAGGCATCTGTGTAGTTCTTGCTCTGCAACACTTAATTCCTAGCTAAAAGTTACACGGTAAGAATGTCTAACTAGCGGTTCAATTCATTTAATATTTGAACAGAGCAAAGTAGATATCGACAGTGACACCTTGCCAGCTGCAATCCGGAACTCTGAGGAGCGACTCTCTAAGGGTGACCTGTATCTGCTTGAGAATGGACTGAACATCTTTGTGTGGGTAGGAGTGAATGTGCAGCAGAGCCTGATCCAGAACCTCTTTGGAGTATCGTCCTTCAGCAGCATCAGCAGCACTCTGGTGAGCTGGATGTGGGGAGCAGGCTATGTGGAGGGCTTCCAATAAGCAGAGCAATGAACATCCAGCTTAGAAGGCTGTCATCCTAAAATCTCATTGAGCACCCATGGGGAAGAACATTTTAATCATTTGATTTAACTGGTATGAATGTGAGCTTCAGAACTCTCTCCTTATATCCCTATTCGGATTTCAAGTCTGGGAAAGCTGGCTGTGTAGCCAGCATAGTGCCACAGTGTCCCCCTTCTGCCATGTGCATGAGACTGAGGTGTTTTTTATTTAGAAATCATAGCAGGCTTTGGCAGATGTTGTCCCACTGCACCTCTTGAGGAATATGGGAAGAGGGTTACCGACAGTAGCGTCTGTCTTCTCTCTCTCCCCCCTCACCTTCACCCCCCCGACCAATCAGAGAGAGGCTGAGACAGGCCAGGGGCATATGTATATAAGATTTATACCCTGCTTTGACCCTTGGCTCCCTAGCAGTTCAGTTCCTGTGCCTGTTAGCTTTTCCTGGTAAGTTTGGCCCCAAGGAGGAACAAGCAGTTTGCCCACTCCTTCCCTGGACTGCAGTCTAGTTTTAATAAAAAGGCTTTCTAATGACTTCACACATTTTTTGGCTTGCAAATAGCTAGTCAGACCTTAAGGCCTAGACTTGAACCTGTGTGATGAAGAAAGCAAAATTGGTTATTGGCATGACTCTAATTGTGTATGTGTAATGGGGGCCTGGTCTTTCCCATTTACAGAGTACCCTGCCAGTCTTGGAAAACTCTTTCTCGAAGAGAGTGCGATCCATCATTGACATGTTCCAGTCACAAAGATCCCGCTACATGAAGGTAAAGAATGTGGCCCCTAATTGTGGCTCTTTAATCTCCCTCTCCTGCCTTTTCTGAGCAGGTGACACCAATCCTACTTCCATAATCTGTAAAATTAAACTGTTCTCAGCCTTCAGTTGCCAATTCAGATCGGTTAATTTCAAGTATGTGGTTGGCAGTGAGATAGTGGCATAATAGTGTTGTCTTGCATTTCTGGCTCACTGTATTTACTACTAACATTAGGCCAGGGCTCTATTTTCTTCTGGTGTCCAGTGGGTGTGGTCATATAGAGCCCTTTCCGTTGGCATCTGATCTGCAATCCGCATACATTGTTTGGGGAGGTCTGGATTTGCAGGGCTCTACTGAAAGCTCCACAGGTCACCACACAACAGGGAAACAAGGCTTGTGTCAACTGCCCCCTACTTTTAACTAGCAGCCTCCCACCACCTGCCACTTCTCCTTCCCTTTTTTGGGCAGAGGCTACAATCCTGTCCCCCTGTATTCAGCACTGCCCTCTAACACATGCAATGAACCAAGCACAGCACAAGAGCAGTCATGCTTTCTCCTCCGTCCAAGCAGGCTGGAGACTACAATTTCCAGAATGCCCAGTGGGCTATTGCTGCTGCAGGGTGATTGAGGACTGAGTGACAGCTGCTCCTTCCAGCAAGCGTATGCTGCAAAACCCTGTGCAGATACAAAATTTGTAACTGCATCCAAGCTGCAAACTACAAAAATAATTCACAGATACCTGGATATGCAGAGCTATAAGTATATGATGCTAGAACTAGAAGCCTGAAGGAGATGGCAGTGATCTAGCCAGACGTGAACTTTCAAATGAACATGTCTGAGTCCTCATCACCACAAACATTGTCATATGGGTCAGACTGAGTAAATTATTGTGATTCCCATAGAAGTAACTGGACTACATTTCATAGTGATGGTATAAGCTATTCATCAGTCGCACTGAGGTGAAGCAATGATTTTCCTGTGAAACCCTGCTGCAGGAGCAGTGAGAGTAGTGGTGTGTAAAAGGAAAGGCCATCCCTTCTACTTCCAGCTCAGCTGCAGAACTTACAGTCCAGAACTTAAAGAAAAGAATTAGGCTCTGTTCTTAAAAACAGGTCAGGATTCCTAGATGAAAAGTTGATAGAAACCCAGTACAGCTAAGCTGGGAGGGAAGATGAAAAGGGCAAGTTTAAACAGCCTCACCCCATCAGAGAGACTGCCTGTTCCTCTATCAGTGTTTGATCTCCAGTCTTGGGTCTGCTAAATTCTATATGCTGTACTATCAGAAACACCTGGGTGCTCAGTGTGAGTAGGTGTAGTGTAATAGAAAGGAAGATACAGAAGTAGCTATTGGGTCATACAGTTAGTGGCAGAAAGGCCTGTTTGCTCCACACAGTCCATAAGGGGAAAACTAGACTGCATTTTGAAAGAGGGTGTATAACATTCCTGTTTCAGCTGTGTATCTGTAGTGGAGACAAAATACATTGTATTACTAAAGCCTTGCAGGTACAAAATTTGTATCCACAAACATGGTCCATGGATATTTACAGGGCTCTAGATATTAAATTAGGATCTGCATCCATCCACAATCTGCAAACATGGTCCAAAGATAACCGCATCTGCGGATGCAGATATAAAGCAGATAGCCACAGGTTTGCAGGGCTCTGTGTTACTGCTTCTCTCCCAGCAAAGCTTTACAAGGCTTTCTGAAAAGAAACCTACATTAGGAAGCCAAATGCTAGTAGCACAGCTGAAGTACGTTGGGCTAGGGATGCACTTGTCAGGTGGCTGCAGGTGCTTTTCCTTCAACCTTGTGCCACCTCCTACCATATGCTAATGCACCCCTGCTGTTACTTGGTGATGGTAGAAAGTCCTGATGTTCAGCTCATCAGAACTGGCTTAATATTGCATGACCCCACACAGGTTTTTGTGGGTTTTTTTTTACTTTACTTCCCCTGTAGTTTGGATTTTTATTCAGTTTGTGTGTTCGTGATGTAGTCCATAGATCTTAAAATACTGTGTTAGGTGACTAAAAGTCACTGTCCCCGTGTTCAGAGAGGAAAACTGAAGAAGTGGGCTGTGCCCACGGAAGCTCATGATCCCATCTACATGTTATATTAGTCTTTAAAGTGCTACCAGACTGTTTGTTGCTTGTTTAATTTATCCTGTACAGACTAACTCGCCTGCCCCTCTGAAGCTTTTGAAAAACAAATGTGTAGTGACTTCAGGTCAGACAGTAGCCAACCAGGAAATGGAACTTTGGTCTCCTGACTTTTTCAGTCCTGTGCTCTGTTCACTGGGCCACTGATCAAAAGTAGAATTCCTCAGTTTTGCTAGTTACCTAGCCAAAACTGGAATTTCTAGAAACCCTACAACATGTGGCCAACCCTGGACACGATAATACTACTATGCTTCCTTGAGGTTAACCTTAGTCACAGAAATTCAGATGTTCTGAGTAGGTGGCTTCAGTGATTTCTTGTTCTGGAAATTTTAGTTGCTCAACATTCTTATATTAGTTGGATGTTGTCTTATGTACCAGAATCATTAGCTGATACTTACACTCAAATCTTTTTTGTTTGCTTATAGCTAATAATTGTGAAACAAGAAGACAAATTGGAGATGCTATTCAAACACTTCCTGGTGGAGGACAAAAGCATGAGTGGGGGGGCTTCATATGTGGACTTCCTCTGTCACATGCACAAGGAGATTCGGCAGCTACTGAGCTAGAGGAGAGAGTGGTGCTGGACTCCAGCAGTGACATTTCAATCTCAACTAACCACCTGCTCCAAGGGCCTAGCTCCCTCAAGAAGGACAACCCAGAAACCTGTACAATGCCATCATTTTTAATACACATTGCATTAAGCAGAGATCCTTTCAACCTCTCCCAGCCCCATTTGAGATGCAAAACTTCCTGGCAAGGGCAGAAAAAAGGTCATTGAACCCAGGTCTTTTACCTGTCTCAAAGTTTTTTCCTGTACTTAGCAAGGATCTACCCCCCTATGCTCGCTAACCCTGTTGTAATGAATGTAGTTTCTCAGTTTACTGTACATGATTCAGCATTGGGTGAAAAAGCGATAACTCTTCAGAACTACTAGTCGTTGCTGTGTGTTTGTGTGCGCGCGCGCATGCTCCAAGAGTAAAGAGGAGCCAGGTGGGGGAGGTCAGGAGGCAGGTCACCCAGCCAGATTGGTGAGAGTTGGAGCACTTACGCATTTCTTTTAAATCCCCTTCCTAGCTTAGGGGAAAATACATGCAGAACACAAACTGCAGCTTGTGGCCCTGTCTTGATTTGAAAAAAAAATTCATCAACTGAGCTGTGAGCCAGGGGCTAGCAGGACAAATCCTTTCTACATCTCTACTGTAGTAAGAGTTGCGGTGCAGAAATGTAGTAGAATAAATAATTGTAAATGGGAGAGAGGGTAAAACCAGTGCCTTCTATTGGCAAGAATGGCACCCACGCAACTACCTTTTATTCCTTGGGCAAGCAACCTCTCCTGTCTTGTTTTTCTGTGTAGCATCGTCTTACCCCCTTCCCTGTTCTATGGCCTCTTTTCATTGACTTGTTTTGTTGGAGCCTACGTACACTGTCTTATTCATGGTGTTCATACCCTCCTCCCTGTTTCAGTTTAAATAGGAAATATTTTTAGCAAGGTGACACGGCTGTAGGGAACAGGAGCTGAGTGGCAAGGTGGCTGTTTTCTGTTCAGACTAGTGCAAACTCCATGGCAAATAAGCAAGGATTTTATTGGTGCAAGCTTGAGGCTGTTCTGTACTGCAGAGTGCAAGGAAGGGGATGCAAAAATAGTTTCAACTGCACTGCAGAAGGTAATATCAAGTACCTGACCTCAGTTATTGGGAAGGTGCCAGTGGAAAGAATATTTTTCAGCACTGCTTATGCCCCCATTCTACCTACCAATGCGTCTGCATACAAACTTTTTATAAGCCTGTTCATTAACCTAAAATACCTCAGTGAGATAACCCATCGATTTTATGGTAAGCCACTCTGACTCTCCATCTGTAAGGATGGAAGAGAAGATGCCTGCAAAGGGGAGCAATGAGTCTAAATCAGATTCCAAATTCTAAGGGCTTGTTCATTAATTTTTGAAAGGAGAATAATTTACTATAAACACTGACAGAGCTTTTGCAAAACCCAGGATTTAGTGAGGGAGCAGCAGCACTGAAGATGAGAGAAATGAGAGAATTTGCAGAATAATGGGTGAATAGATTGGATGCAGTTAGACGACATGTTTTAGCTGGACTTCAGTTTTCAAAATAGGGTCCTTGTACATAAGACCTATTTTGTTTAAAAACAAAAAAAAAAGGCTTTGTGGTTTTAATCCCATGACCTATAATGTGTGTAAATCTGCTTTTCCTCTACTGCCACTAGTTTGTCTTCCCTCTTATCACTACATACAAAGGGGAATAAAAGAACTCTAATGGAGAAACCCCTTGAAGATGTAGTAGACAATTCTTCAGCATTTTTGTATGTATGTGGCTGACATTTTTTTACCCTACACACTGCATCCAACCAAAAATATAGAGGATTTTTTAACTGAAGAAGAGAGCTTCCCAGGAATACAATGTTTGGCAACCACAGACTTCCACAAAACTAATTTCTAGTATTAACATGAGAGGAAAATAAGTTCGTAAGTGAATCTTTCATTTTCTTCACTCTTGTTTTTTCCAATGCATCTTTTAATTTGTAAAGAAATAAATATATTAAGATGTATTTTATGTCATTGTTAGTAAATAAACACTGCTGATTATTTTTCCAAACCTTGTATTTTGGGGCAGGGGAAGAGGGAGGAAAGGAAAGGGCTGGGGTTTTAGGTGAGTGATCACAATCCAACCAGCTGTCAATCAAGTTCTGTATTTTTTTAAATATTTTCTGTTTGGATATGTTTAACTTTCCACCCCCTTCTGAATCTTTATTTTGCTAAGAACATTCCCTTTTCTCTGAGATGGCTTGGTTAAATTATAACGCCATTTTGGTTTATTTCCATACCCATTCTAGTTGATACTTTAAGACCATATTAGCTACAGTTAGACTCTCAAGGATCCCATTTTTCTCTAACTATCCCATTGTTAAAATGGTAGAATTACTTTTTTTTTCTTTGAATCCAATAATAAAGTTCTAATTAAACAGTTGGCAACAGCACTCTTACCAGTTTAGGCTAAACTTGAAATCTGTGCATTGCACTTCAGTGTGAATCTCCTTTCTCTTACACACTTGTCTGCAGCCTGAAACAGATAATGAACATTTAATACTGATAAAAATGATCTTTTCAGTAATCTGTATATGAAAACAAGACAATGGTTGCTAAATACCTATCAGTGTTTAGTTTGCCATGAGATTTTCTGGAGAGATTCCATTCTGTTAGAGGGCATGTTCCTATATTTGTCAAAAAAATCACTGCTGAGCGATGGGTTGTGCATTAATTATCTGGAATAAATTGTGCCTGCAGGAATTCTGTGATATTACCCCTTTGTGTTTATGGAAATTGCCTAGCTGAATCAACTATCTTAAATATACTTAGCTGTGATTTTTGCATCAGTGCAATGAATGGATGGAATTATGAAAAGGAAATGGCGTAAGCACAAACTATTGTTCTTCGAGATGTCGCTCGTGTCCATTCAAAGTAGGTGCATGCGTGCCGCGTGCACGGTTCCCTGAAGCTTTTTTCCCCAGTGGTACCTGTCGGGCTGGCAGGTCACCCCCTGGAGGGGCACCGCTATAGCGGAGCATAAGTACCCTGCCGGCCCTCCCCCTCCTCAGTTCCTTCTTGCTGGAACTTTGACGCAGGGGAGGTGTGTGGGGGGGAGGGGGATCGAATGGACATGAGCAACACATCTCGAAGAACAACAGTTACAGGTAAGTAACCCTGTTTTCTTCTTCGAGTGATTGCTCATCCATTCAAAGTAGGTGACTACCCAGCTACCCCCACCCTGGAGGCGGGGTCGGAGTCAACCACCAAAACCTCACTCCGACATAAAGCGCAACAAGAACTTTAATGCATAACTGAAAACAGAACCCCACAGAACAAGTTACATATCTGTGACACTGTGTGTCACTCGACCATGTCCCCTTATGTGTTCACAGGAGGGAACCCAACAGAGTCCTCCTATGCCTGCTGGGTGAGAGCATAATGCTCTGTAAACATATGGGCGGAGGACCACGTGGCTGCCCAACAGATCTCAAGGATCGGGACGTGGGCCCCAAAGGCAACAGATTATGCGTGGGCCTTGTGGAGTGAGCTGACAGGCGAGAAGGCTCCCTATGTACAAGAGCATAGCACTCCCGGATGCAGGATGATATCCACCCTGACATCCTCTGGGCTGAAACTGGCATCTCTTTTATCTGGTCCGCATAAGCAATAAACAGTTAAGTCTTGCGAAAAGGCTTGGTTCTATCAATATAAAACGCCAGTGCCCTTTTCGCGTCGAGGGAGTGCAAAGCCTGCTCCTTGGGGGAGCTGTGGGACTTAGGAAAGAAAACCGGCAGGTATATATCCTGCGACACATGGAAAGGAGACATGACCTTAGGGAGGAATGCAGGTTCCAGTTTGGGTGTAGACAAGCCCTATAATCTCCCCATCCATGAGTTTCTCCCTTTCTTTTTGCTCATCACTTATTTGTATCAAAACCTCAGAGGCTTAAACTATGTGGTCTTTTCTTTCTAACCTATTGGCTGCATCTAGACTGGCATGATTTTCTGCAAATGCTTTTAACGGAAGTTTTTCCGTTAAAAGAATTTGCTGAAAATAATGTCTAGATTGGCATGGATGCTTTTGCGCAAAAGCACTTTTTTGCGGAAAAGCGTCGTGCCAATCTAGACGCGGTTTTCCGCAAGAAAGCCCCGATCGCCATTTTCGCCATCGGGGCTTTTTTGCGCAAAATAGTTTTTACCTGTCTACACTGGCCCTCTTGCGCAAAAGCATTTGCGCAAGAGGGCTTTTTCCCAAGCAGGAGCATCATAGTATTTCCGCAAGAACACTGACAATCTTACATTAGATTGTCAGTGTTCCTGCACAAATTCAAGTGGCCAACTTGTCTCTCACCACCAAAGTCCAATAAAATACATCACCTCAGTCACCTTGTGTCTCTTAACTGATTATGAGGTCAGTCTTCCTTGTGAAAAATCTTTGCCCTTCGTACTTTCTCTCACTTTTAAATCTACCACTGGTACCTCCGTTCTTTAAAGTTTCCTGGCTACTAATACTTTATCAAACCTCTCTCTTAACCTAAGCAAAGCATTCGAGAAAGTGATGGACCTCTGCCTAAACTAGCATTGCTTGTTATAATGTAACCATTTGTTTTCCTCATTGTGTCAGATTATGCCGGCTCACAAACTCCCTGCCTACCCCCTCCACGCTGCTGATGAAAGAGAACATCGCAGGGCTGTTTGAACAGCTATGAGCCCTTCAGAGGGAGGAAAGGGTTTGCACACTGTTAACAGGCAGCTTGAGAAGCACCCTCCCCTTCTTCCCTCAGGTTTCTAGCTGTTCAGAAACCACATGGCCCTGCAGCCAGGGCAGGTCGGGCAGGGAGTCTGCTTGGGAAGGCTGCTGGCTGGGAGTCAAGCAAGTAAGTCTCCCAGCCAGAGCCTGCCTGTGGCATCCCAACCCTTTGCCCTCTGCTCCCTCCTATCCCCATATCAGCTTCCAGATCCTGCACCCCAATCCCCTGCCCCATTTCACAACCCAGACCCTTTACCCCTCCCTTCATCCCTACCCCACAAAACCCAAACCCTCTGCCCCCCTCCTGCACCCATATCCTCCACCCCCAGTCTCCTGCCTCAAGGTAAAACCCCCTCCTGCCCTAGGTCACAGCCCAAACCCCTCCACCCCCTCCTGCACCCTAGTTCCCCTAACCCAGGTCACAACTGCCTCCTTCACCCAAACTCCCTCTCCTGCACCCCAATCCTTTACTGCAAGCTCCCTTCTGCATCCAACTTCCATCCCAGACCCTGCACCTGCTCCATTAATATGGAAGAGTACAGCCTTTGACTAGTTTCCAAATTTGTGGAGTGCCCCCCCACGTAAAAAATTATTGCTCACCCATATCAGACACTCTAGTTAGGAGTCAAATTAGTGATCATTACCAAAAAAAGCCACAATAATGTGAATTCACTGTTTCTTTGACTATAGTATTAAACAATAGGATGGGAAAGTGCATAAATATAAAAATTATTCTCCCATAAATGATCAAGTATCTTATCAATTATGTTGGTTAATAACATAGTAAAAACATCCTGATTAATAACTTAGATTGGATAATAATATCAGTGTTTCTATATAATGTGTTGCAAAGAGCCACAGGAGCTCCGTACTACACTCAGGAGGCTCAATCTGAGTATCACTGCTCTAATCCATTATCTTTTAACGGCAGCCAGTACTGGCAGCTTTGGAGGAAAGTGTAAGAAACAATTATAGAATCCACTGCTAGCAGATAAAGTCTCTTATCCTGAGATACAGTTGTTGTATATCCTGAAACATGAGCAATACTCTTTATACAATTTCAGCTGCTCCTATGTAAGTGTGGATGTTAACAATAAAAATGACATCCTTAGTAAATCCCCATTATGTTTTGGCCTCAGTGATAAGAGATAGCACTGGGGTTTTTTTTTAAACTGACCTTAAATAAGTTACCTTTAAAATAGAGAGACAAGGAAGATGAGGTAATACCTTTCATTGGACCAATGTCTGACAAGGGAGACAATACTTTGAGCTACACTGAGCTCTTCAACTCTGGGAAACGTTCTCAGGTGTCACAGCTAAATAAGTGATGTGATACGAGCTTTGGTGAGCACAATCCACTTCTAGATGAAGTGGGCTGTGCCCACGAAAGCTCACAATAGGGTATGTCTATCTATTTTTAGTTAGTCTCTAAGGGTATGTCTACACTTGCACCCTCTTTCCAGAGAGGGATGCAAATGCAACTGAGCAAAATTACAAATGAAGCGCGGATTTGAATTTCCTGTGCTATATTTGCGTTATGGCGCTATTTTGAAATAGTGCTATTTCGAAAAAAAGAAATGCTGTCTAGACGCGGTTATTTCAAAAGAAAATGCTTCTTCTGAAATAACCCTTATTCCTCCTCTTATGAGGTTTACTAGTTATTTCGGAAGAAGGGTTTTCTTTCAAAATAACCGTGTCTAGACAGCGTTTCTTTTTTCAAAATAGGGCTGTTTTGAAATAGTGCCATAATGCGAATATGCAAATGAAGTTACAGAACCATTGTTGTTTACTTTTTTTTTTTTTTTAGTTACAGACTAACAGGGCTACCCCTAACAAAAAGCAGGACTATGTAGCACTTTAAAGACTAACAAGATGGTTTATTGGGTGATGAGCTTTCGTGGGCCAGACCCACTTTCTCTGAGACAGCAAAATAGGTGGAATACATTGTTTAGCATAAGTAGTTAACACATTTCAAGGGCCCATTCCAGGGAAATGACCCATTAACACCTCTCCTGTCATAGCGGAAAAGGCTGGAGGAAAGTTGAAATGGGTTACAGATTGTTATCATAGAATCATAGGGCTGGAATGGGCTGCTAACTTTTTCTTGCATTAACATATTTATAAAAAGAGCTGATTGGCTGTTCTGTACCAGTCTTTTTATTGGACATACTACATTAATTTATTAGTCTTGTAGAAGAAACTCATGTCAACATGAAGAAATCACCAAAAAAGAGTTGCCAAAGCATGTTTATGCTTGTTCCCTCAAGCAATGGACTGTGTCTACATGTTTAACTCTCCCGTGGACAGTGGGAGTAATGCACTGTGGGTATGTATCTCACAGCGCCTGGCAACATCATTTGTCACTTGCAAAATCTCCTGTCAGGCACCACTTTGTTCTGGAGCTTCCAGTATCCTTTTGTGCTTTTTTTCCTATGGCCATTCCCTGCTGTGTAGGGATGTTAGATACCGCATATTGAATAATCACGTAACCACGTCAATTTTTAGCAGTTACACAACTATTCAATAGTCCCTGGGGCAAAGCTGGCAGCCAGTACACTCTGTGGCCCCATTCCCAGGGGGCCCCCCTGCCACGCTGCCTCTGATACATAGGCAGCAGGGCAGGGTGGCAGGTGTAAGTTGCTCCATGAGGGGAGCCCGTTTAAAAAATAGCTCCCCACAGATAGAGACTGTAACATGTGCTAGCCTGCTAACTCTTAATGACCAATTTCAGCCCTCCCTCTTTTGCATAACAGTCTAAGGCTAACCCTTATGACCCCTGCAGTGCTGGGTGAAGTGGGGACTCTGCCTCCCTAAGAGGTGGTTGCACTCTGACCGGAGAGCTTGCTGAACCAAGGGGTTAGGTTAGTATTACTGTTTCTCTAGTGCAGTGGTCTCCAACCTTTTTAAGCATGAGATTGCTTTTTGAATTTAAGTGCAGCCCAAGATCTACCTCAAACCCCCTTGCCCTGCCTCCTTTGTGCCCCCTGCCACTGCTCACTCCATCCTCCTTCCCTCCATCCTCCCACACTTTCACCAGGCAGGGGCAGCAGGTTGGGGTACAGGCTCTGGTCCTGGATTAAGGAATTGGGAGTGCAGGAGGGGCTCTGAGCTGAACGTGGGGCTGTCAGAGGGGTTCTCTCTGCAGGCTCTGGGAAAGTGTGGATGCCGGGATGTACAGGGGGTTCAGGACTCAGGGTGTGTGCTCTCACTGGTCACTGCTTACCTCAGGGGGCTCCTGGGCGGTGGTGCGGGGGGCTAAGGCAGGCTCCCCTCTGCCCTGAAAGCAGCCAGCAAGCTCCATCCCAGTCCTTTCACCAGGCAGGGGCAGCAGGTTGGGGTACAGGCTCTGGTCCTGGATTAAGGAATTGGGAGTGCAGGAGGGGCTCTGAGCTGAACGTGGGGCTGTCAGAGGGGTTCTCTCTGCAGGCTCTGGGAAAGTGTGGATGCCGGGATGTACAGGGGGTTCAGGACTCAGGGTGTGTGCTCTCACTGGTCACTGCTTACCTCAGGGGGCTCCTGGGCGGTGGTGCGGGGGCTAAGGCAGGCTCACCCCTGCCCTGGCCCTGCAGCACTCCCTAAAGCAGCCAGAAAACTCCATCCTGTTGTGGCCCCTCTCTGCTTTTTGCTTTGTGGAGAAAGGATACAGAGTGGGAGGGGGCAGCTTGACATCAGCCCCCCTCTCCTGCCTGCACAGAAAGCAGGAGGTTCCCCGGGGGGACGGGCAGCTCCAAGGCAAAGAGCGGGAGGGGCACATCAACTGAAGCGCCCGCAC